TTGGCCAGGCTGGTCTTGAACTCCTGAGGTCAAGTAATCTCTCTTCCTGGGCCTCCTAAATTGCTCCGATTCCAGGCGTGAGTCACTGTGCTGCCTCCACAGATTGTTTTTTATGTAAATGTTGTTAGAATTCATCCGTCGGTCCAGTCTCCTCTATAAATTTCTCTAACCCTTTGTTGACCATCATATATGATGAGATAAATCAGTATTACTGAAATGCTTCTGGAAAGCAGTTAGGGCAATGTGTGAAGATTTTGGGGAAAAAGTTTTAATTGCTTGTGCTAACTTAGCTCAGAGGATACATGATTAAGATCTAGCAGATGAGGGAGATTTTCTTTCATGGATTTGAAAAGTAGGCTCATCTACTTCTAGGGCGACTTAATCTAGGGACCAGAAGAACACTCCCGTCAGAATATCACATTCTTAAACAGAATATTTTTCATTTTTATGATATGAGTAGACACTAATTTGGTCTTGTGTGAAGTGTGATTTGCTTAATCTGACCTGCTCTTCTGAATTTGCTTACAGAAGATCTGAAACGTCATGAGGAGGAACAGAAATACAAAGACAGCAAAAATAAACTTCTTAAAAATCAAGTGGCCCACTACCCCGGCTGCAGGCTGAAGACAGAAAGTAAGTTCCATAGGTTCACTGTCACCAGAGTGCTGAACGATGTTCTGTGTTTCCTCTCAGAAACTAGACTCTCTTCATCAGAATTAATTTCATTTTTGCCATACGTCTAGGAAAATATAAATGGGTATTTTAACATTTTGTTAAAGGTGGATGAGAGAGGCCAAAGTATGTAGCAACTTTTCCGCATCTGCAGTAAGGCAGGTGTGGGACTGAGGGTAAAGTCTCAGGTGTTTCTGCAGAAGCACCTGTGTTTCTCAGCAAGAGGCTAAATCATGTTTACAGGAATCCCCTCTGTGCCACCTAAGATCCTGCAGACAAGCAGCATCTATTCTGTTGTTCTAAGTGTCTGAGGCTACTGAACTTCCATTCAGTTCTGGCTTCTGCTGAGGCTCAGTAGGGAAAGCTCTGTTCTGGGGGAAATGCGATGGTAGCACACTATACCCGCTATTGGGAGCTTAAAGAGGACTCTGCTCCTTACATAACCTGTGGTATCTGTAAGTGGCCTCATCTAGAGCAGTGATTACTCTGGTCAGAGGGACATCCTGCTTTCTGTGCAGAGGCTCTTGTTGGTTAAGAGGAAGAATGACAGCACGCACGACTTTGTGGAGGCAGCAGTGCGTAGAGGAGGGACCCTGGGCCAGTCTCCTGAGCTCCATCCAAGTTGCTTCTTGGAGACAGTTATTGGCACAGAGTAAACACTGTCCGTTTATACTTCTTCATTCTACTGTGTCTAGCATAAGAGAAACTTTATTAGTCTGTGCATATTTCCTTTATGGACTTATGAGAGAGTCCAGACCTCCATACTTCCACAATTACAGTTTTATCAGTGGTGTTTTCTTCCACTAAACATATGTGGCCATGACGTGACTAGGACTTTCTGAATGAGAACACAGATGGGAAACCCATGCGGTTGAAGGTCACAGTATTGTAAATGTCCCTCCTTCCATGATGGATGGTGGTCTTTGGAGCAAGAGGCAGCATCTCTCCAGTTGTAAAGGACATGAAGGAAGCTGTGACAGAAGGGCGGTTGTTGGAGTGGAAAGAGCTCTGGAGTAAGAATGAAGGTTCCCAGGCTGTATCTTCAGCAG